GTGAGTCGTGGCAACGCTGTGCACCAGAGAACAACACACTGTCTGGTCCTGCTGCGTCTTCACAGTTACTGCTGTGGTCTAGTCCGTTGTGACTGCTGTGTATCCGAATGCCTTCCAACCCAGGGGGCTCATCTTCCAGCTCTCCACTGGACAGTGTTCTGATATTCTCTTGTGACTCATAGGTTCATTGTTGTTGTTGTTGTTTTTCCTTTCTTTTTCTTTTTTCATAGGATTTTCATCGACTCTTTTGTGGAAATAGATTGCCAGGCTTTTTTTTCTTCCTTGTCTGCATGCACCTCTGAAATTTGCCACCCATGGGGAACCCTGCTGATATTTGCAATACCAGTGGCATAGCTTCGCTGATCATAACAACATAAGAGGGGTAGAAGGAGCTAACTAGATGAAGCTTCATCTTCATCTTCTAGGCAGAAGGATTCGCGTGTGACCAGAGGGAGCGTGGTACTCTGAGGAACTGAGAGGAGGTGAGGCTGAAGCGGGGGGAAGAGTGAAGAAGGATGAAGGTGTGGAAGGAATAATAGAAATAACTGACGTTCATTGCGGCTTGCTACATGCTAGACATCTGTTGATTTACATAATCTTCACAAAAGCCTAATAAAGTTGATGCTGTCATTGTCCGCATTTTATAGCTGAGGGAATGGAGGCATAGAAAGATTATGTCATTTGTACACAGTAATTTAACTCTGAAGTAGTAGGGCTTTGACTGAAGAACCTTCACTCTGAACTTCACCCTCTCTTGCCTCCTGAGGTCAGATCCCATAGGGCTTGTGTTGGTGGTTTTAGGTGCCATCAAGTCATTTCCATCTCAGAGCCACCTTGTGTACAACAGGACACAATACTGCATGGTTCTGCACCATCCTCACAGTTGTTGCAATAGTGAGCCCATTGTCACAGCCATTGGGCCAAACCATTTTGTAGAGTCGTCTTCTGTTTCCCTGACCCTCTACGTGATGTCCTTCTCCAGGACTGGTCCCTCCTGACAACAGGACCAAAGTACATGAGCTAAAGTCTCATCATCCTCACATCTAAGGAGCATTCTGACTGTGCTTCTTCCAAGACACATTTGTTCGTTCTTCTAGCAACTGTGGTATGTGTGTTCAGCATTCTTCAGCACTTTAATTTGAAGGCATCAATTCTGTTTTTCCTTATTGTCCAGCTTTCACATACATATGAATAAAAAAACAACAAAAAAACCAAACTCATTGCCATCGAGTTGATTCTGACTCACAGCGACCGTCTTTGGGTTACTGAGGCGGTAAATCTTTATGGTGGAGCTCTGGTGGTATAGTGCCTAAGGCATGTGACTGCTAACCAGAAGGCTGGCAGTTCATACCCACCAGCCACTCCTTGGAAGGAAGGTTGGGCAATCTACTTCTGTAGTGATAGCGCCTCAGAAACTCAAGAAGGGGTCGCTATGAGTTGGATCCAACTCCACGGCAGTGGGTTTGGTTTATAGTTTTGGAAATCTTTGTGGAAGTAGATTGCCCAGTCTTCCTTCCACAGAGTGGCTGGTGGGTTTGAACCACGAGCCTTCTGGGTAGCAGTCAAATGCCTTAGACAGGCATATGAGGTGATTGAAAATACCAAGGCTTGGTGCAGGCACACCTTAGTCCTCAAAAGGGCCTTGTAGGCTATGGAAAGGATTTTCACCTCCCAACTTAACAGCAGTGGTAATTATTGCAAAGTTTTAAGTAAGACAATAATGTGGTCAGATGTCTGTTTGGGGAATATTTTGCTCACTTTTGTGTGGGATATGGATCGGAGGTACCAGAAGGATGTGGGATCAGCAAATAGGCTATTGTGTTTACCCATCCTTGTCTCTTTGTGATCCTGAGCATTGATTTTGTGAACATCCTTCAATATACACTGTACCTCTGCATATTTTTTAATTTCTTTGGGATAGTTCTTAGAAGTTGAATTGCTGCATCATGGAATATGCACATTGAAATTTTGGGTGCAAACATATTAAATTTTTTTTGTAGTTGAATGTAGGAACTTCTGGGATGCCTAGCCTAGTATATGGAATATC